TTTTTTTTTTTTTTTTTTTTTTTTTGTTTTTCTTCATTGGTTTTGACCAATTTTGGGTGCCACAGTTTACGAGGGATCGGAAGATTTGGCGTAGTGTAATTTTGTCCAATTCTCTCAACCCACCAAATTGACGGATTTTTGTCATTTCTCATTTTATCCTCCAATTTTACCATTTATAAAATAATTATTTACAACCAATATATTTCATTCAAAACTAACTTGTAAATTAAAATATATTAACTAAAAAATTATTTATAAGCCAAAAAATTACATTGTAATTAAAAAACACTTATAAGTAATAATATTCATAATATTACTTATAAGATAAGAAAAAATACTTACAAGTAAAAAATCACTTTTTTATAAAATAAAAATACTACTAGTAAGACAAATTCACTTATAAAATATAAAAAGTTACTTATAAGTAACAAAATTCACTTGAAATTATTTAAAATTATAAACTTTACTTATAAATTAAAAAATATTAACTTAAAATTTTAAGTAAGTATTTAACTTTATTTAATTTTTAAAGTTAAATTTTAACTTATATGTAAAAAATTACTTATGAGAAAAAAATTCATACAAGCATCTATAGACTAAAATTTTTTCTAACGGATATATATATGTAATTTTATTCTCTTAAAAAACTTTCAGAATCGATTGATAATAAACTCACAAACATGGATTGGACGGTTTTAAAAACCGCTATTAAAACCACTCAAAACCTATTCTTTTATAAACGCTCAAAATCAGTACTTTAAAAAACGTTCATAACTAGTACACCGAAACTTTCAAGCTGGGCCCTAAAAATTCAGGAGATTTGTTTGATAAACCAGAATGTATAACCTTAATATGTGTTATGGTCAAAAGCTCAGCATTACTAATGTTGAGTCGTACCGAAATATTACTCAAAATTACAAGAAATTATATGAATCCCATTTTATGGATTTAGATCATTCCAATTTTATTTATTTTAATGTAAAATTAGCTTTATTAATTATGTGTATGCTAGACAAACTAGTTACCGTAAAATTCAATTCCAATTCGTAACCGGTGATAATTTTTGGTGGATATGGAAGTAGAATCAATGTTACATTGTCCAATAAAACTAGAATATGTTTTTTTTTTTCGTTGAACAATATAATCAATTATCTTATAAAAATCAACGATGATCTCGTATTACTATTTATAAAGTCATCGACATCGAGATTACGGAATAATATTCAAAGAGTATAATCGATAGCCTCATCTCTCAAGAGATGTCCTAATAATGTATCCTATTACATCATGCATGCTGTCATGGAACCTGAACGAGTCAAATGTATGACTTCCATTTACATTTAAAGAAGTTCATGGATGTCACTACCAATCTTCACAAGATCTACACGAGGACGATGAACACCCCCCACTACACGCACCCCATTCCAACCCCACCCCTCACCCACAAAATAATAAAATAATAATGGCTTGTAGATTCTTGAATTTATAGCATTTTGATTTTGGACTTATTGGATGAGATGTTTGACAGATAAGTGCATTGATGAAAACGTAGTCAACTCTTGACCAAAGATGTTAAACGGGCGAGTCGTCATCCCGTCTAGTAGAAACTCAATCGACACAATTCATTCGTTCTCGTTGGCATTATAATAGTGTCATTTGGAGAAACATTGAATTTTAATATCGTCACACCGTTAAGTATTTTAATAGAGTGATCATTAGTATAAACATCTTAAATTTGAATCATCGGTATTGTAAGAAAATAATTTCAATGATCATCAGCGCAACTATTCGAAACTTCAACGATAATTGACATAATTATCCCGTGTTCTTTATGTTGTAAAGGTTGACAAACTTGCAGCATAGACCACATTAACCAACCAAGCCTGGATTTCTAGACAAAACCACCAAATTTCTTCTCAACTACCCAATAATATATGCATTGGATCACAAAAAGTCAACTCTTTAGACCGCCTATTGCAACTTGGTGATCCCCCGTCTCCATTGACAGACAAACACTTCAAATGGTAATAAATTAATCTTGTGGGGTGGGGTGGGGTGGGGTGGGGTGGGTGGGGCTGTTTCTGTTTATCCAAAAGGCTGATAACAATGGAGAGTCAAAGTTTTATAGGAGGGATTTTTTCTGAAACCCCTTATAGGCATTTCTTCATGCTGTTGAAGTGCAAATTCATTTTCTTGTTATAATGATGGGCAGTAATATTATTATGCTCGTCTTTTTAATCTTGCTGCTGTTTCTTGATCCTTGTTTTTCACTGCCATTATGTACTGATTCAAGTATGTTAAGAGAATTTTTTACTGTTCCGTTTAGATTTTGTTGATGCTGTAATTGATCCATATTGTGCAGTTTATTGATCCTTGTTTATGAATTTTACAGGAGCACCCTCAACTCCAAAAGCTAAGCTGGAGTTTTGTTCATATAATGGAACCGGTTGCTGCAACAATGCTGATGATCTTCGCTTGAAGAAGCAATTCGAGTCTATGAATGTTTCTGATTCTGATTGTGCTTCTCTTCTGAAATCCATCCTTTGTGCAGTAAGAATTCATAAACTTTTGCATCGGATAAGTTCTTGTTCGAGAAGGATTGATTTCCTATTTGTTGTTTATCTTTTGTGTGTAAAAATTCGATGTTAATTTGAGTTTCGAAATATGGTGTACAGAGGTGTGATCAATTTTCAGCTGAGCTATTTAGAGTCGATTCTATTCCCCGTCCAGTTCCTGTACTTTGCAACTCTACAATTTCAGCCAATTCGACACAATCTAGCCGAGCTAAAAACAACTTTTGTTCGAAAATATGGACTACTTGTCAAAATGTATCTGTGCTAAATTCACCCTTTTCGGGGTCATTACAAGGTCGAGCTGGAGCACCGGTAGTGTTGAACTCAACTAAATTAACAGATGTGTGGCAATCACAAAAGGATTTTTGTGATGCGTTTGGTGGAGCTTCTGATGATGAATCTGTATGTTTCAATGGAGAACCTGTCACCCTGAATAGTACGGGAATTCCAAGTCCTCCGAGTGGTATGTGCCTCGAGAAGATAGGGAATGGATCTTACCTCAACATGGTTCCTCATCCAGATGGCTCAAACCGCGCGTTCTTCTCGAACCAGCAAGGGAAGATTTGGTTAGCTACAATTCCTAACGAGGACTCGGGAGAAACACTAGAACTCGATGAATCCAATCCTTTCCTAGATTTAACCGATGAAGTTCACTTCGATACTCAATTTGGAATGATGGGAATAGCGTTCCATCCGAAATTCTCGGAGAACGGCCGGTTTTTTGCTTCGTTCAACTGTGATAAGGCAAAGTGGCCGAAGTGTGGAGGAAGATGTGCGTGTAATTCAGATGTGAATTGTGATCCCTCGAAACTAGGCAATGATAATAGTGCACTGCCGTGTCAATATCAGGCTGTGATCGCCGAGTTCACGGTCAATGGTACTGCATCCCAGCCTTCTATGGTACTTATCAATCCTTATAACTTTCGATATTATTTTCCTCATTGAGCATAAAGAAAATTGTACCTATTTTTCACCAGGCAACAAAAGCCATACCTTCAGAAATCAGAAGGGTTTTCACCATGGGACTTCCTTTTACAGCACACCATGGGGGCCAAATTCTTTTTGGACCAAAAGATGGATACTTGTACTTCATGATGGGGGATGGCGGGGGTACGGGCGATCCATACAATTTTTCTCAAAACAAGAAATCTTTGCTCGGAAAAATCATGAGACTTGACATCGATACCACACCAAGTGAGTTATAATAATATACTTCTAGCTTGATTTGTAGGGAGAATTGGACATTAATATACAATATTAAGGGCCTATTTTGAATAACTTCTAGTTTTGTAGAAGAATATCCTAAGGACACATTTGGCCAGCTTCCTCTAGAATTGGTTTTGTAGAATCAGTCATAAGCAGCTTTTGGCCCGCCATGCGAACCATAAGAAATTAAATGAAGATAAATTCTTGTTTGTTTTAGTGTCCAAAATTGCGTACTAAACATGCACTTGATTTATATAAGACCACGGCTTTGGTTTACTAGAGACATCGATATATTGTATAGCATATCTGATGCCGAGAACAAGAACAAGTTAAGAAGAAGAGAGAATTATGAAGAAGATTGTAATGTTATTGAATAATGATATTAATAAGGAAACTAGATTTTCCTTTACAAGGAAACAAAATCAATTGTCTTAAAATCAAAATAAAATTTAATATTAATCAATAAGGAAAATACTATAAAATCCTAATTAGCTTGATTTCTTCTACGCCTCGAATATACTTTCTATGTCGTGTTAATATCTTTTCCTTAGTATATCTCTCCAGGTATCACAATTTCTTCATATGATTCCGTTAGTGCTTTAGGGCGTTCTCAAGAAATAGTCATTTTTCTTCATAACGGATAATTGGAGACTACAAGAGAACATGTTATCTTCTATTTGCATAATTCAATGCTTTTCATATTTGTATTTTGGTTGTGTGGTTCAGGTGCTAAAGATATCAGTCAGCTTGGCTTGTGGGGTAACTATTCTATACCCAAGGACAATCCTTATACTGTAGACACAGATTTGCAGAAAGAAATATGGGCTATAGGACTACGAAATCCTTGGCGCTGCAGTTTCGATTCTGCAAGGCCTTCTTACTTTATGTGTGCAGATACAGGGCAGGTACTGAATTTATTGTTTGCTCTCATTTCTTGATTTGACTCATTGCATACGATTAAATATTGAACATACTGATATTATTCCATAGGATCAATATGAAGAAGTGGATGTGATTACCAAGTATGGAAATTATGGATGGCGAGTATACGAGGGCCATTATGTTTACACTCCTCCGGCTACACCTGGTGGAAATACTTCAGTGAAATCCATAAGTCCGATTTTCCCTGTGATGGGTTACAACCACTCTGATGTAAACATAAATGAAGGCTCAGCATCAATCACCGGTGGCTATTTTTATCGGTCTATGACTGATCCTTGCTTATATGGAAGGTATGTTTTGGGCTATGTAACTAGAAAATTACTACTAGAAACCGAATATTTGAACATAGGCTGTATAATAAATGGGAATTAACACCACAAGTGGGTGTCCTACGTTGAGGACATATGCAGGAGAGAACGACTTAGTGTCCCCATTTGGGAAGGATTTTGAAAGGCCACTAAGAATTTTCTTTTGAATTTGTTGGATGATTTTCTAGAAATGTTTTGACCGGATAGAACAGCTTTTAAAGGAAGTTGATCCAATGTGACTTCCTTGATAAGCTTTTCTACAAAAAGAAAAAGTAGAAGGCAGCCAAATGGACCATTAGGTGGTCGGAAAGTTTATTGCATAGACCTAAAGAAGCTCATGTATATAAGAAATTAGCAGATTTATCAGGAACAAGACATAATTTGCAATTTAGTCTCTTCAAGACTAAAGTTGACAGTATTTCTTGTTGACTTTGGGCTCATGTTTCTTAATGAAGTAAAAATGCTTGATTTTGCAGGTATTTGTTTGCAGATCTTTATGCAGGTGCAATATGGACAGGCACCGAGAATCCCATTAGCAGTGGGAACTTCAGTAGTAACAAGATAAATTTCACTTGTGCTTCTGATTCTCCTTTAAAATGCACCTTTTCTCCTGGAAGTTCATTTCCAGCTTTGAGTTACATTTTCTCTTTTGGCGAAGATAACAACAAGAATGTCTATCTCCTCACCGATAGTGGAGTTTACAGGATTGTCCGTCCAAGTCGTTGCCAATACGCATGTGCTAAGGAAAAAGACGTGAAAATTGCATCCCCAGGTCCTGTTTCCTCCCCTCCTTCGAAAGCAAGCCAGTCGAGAAGTCCATGCAAGAGTCTGTTGACTCTTCTCTCATTGCTATGCTTATTGCTTGTGAATTTTGTGTAGAATGCTGCACTATGTTTATCAGAATGGTTTTGCTGTAAGAAGTTCCACATCTGAGTTTGACAAATTTTGGCTGAATGTGTCCGAACAGTGTACAAAATACTGTGAATATGATCAATGAATATAATTTGACTAATGGCATGTTTGGTAAAGAAGAATGGATGACACCAAACAATATTAAAGAAAAAAATGAGCTAAAATCTTGTCCATTCTAGTTTTGGCCGCTTTAAGCATTTTGCACCTCAATTTGTTAATAAATATCATTTTATCTTCGTCATGTTCTCTCTCTCTGGACTTTCGAGCTCTACCCATTATTATGGCTACCGTGGCTCACCACCCCCAATGTGCACCTAGCCTCCCATCCATCGATCCCTAGAAACTTGTTGTCAAACACTTCTAAAGGAGAAATTGTAGCTAGTCTTGACATTTGACAATTTTCTAATTTTTTATTTCAATTTATGACTTTATCATCTTATATAACTTGATATACAATTTCAAATTTACATTGAAAATTTATGCACTTAAAATATTATTCAAGAGGCAAAATAGATTGAGCAAAAGACATAACTAGTTTGAATAGAAAGTAAAAACAAACCTCCTCGGCTTGCATTTCCCTCTGGCTTATTTGTTCTCACCATCCTCTTGATTCCTCGAACCTCTACTATTTAATTTCACATTCTTTTTCCTCTTTCTTTTCCAACTGGCTTCTATTTACTCTCTTTTAAATTTTTTATACCATCCTTCTTTATTCTCCAATTTCCGCTCATCCTACTTGAAATGGCAAATTGGGGTGGCGGCATGAGGCATGGAGAAAACTTTAGAGCCTGTTCTTTTTGCCGTTTTCAAGTCGTTTTCTGTTTTTGATTTTTCAAAATAGTGAAAACGCGTTCTCTTTCCTATTTTCAAAAAACGTGTTTTTGAAAATGAAAAAAAAAATTGCAAAGGAAACACAAAATGCCCAAAACCACGTTTTGGAAAATTTGAAGCCAAGACAGGGTATTTTTACAAAACATGGGAAACAACTTCCAAAAAACCACAATCCACAAACCCGTCTCTCTCTCTCCCGCCTCCCATCTCCTGTATCATTGTGTTCTTTACCATTTCCATCTCCCAAACCTACAATCCAAAGCTTCCATTGGTCTTCCATCGGCAATCTCAAGTACCCACAATCCATTTATTTTCCATTTCTTTGCCTGCAATTCTATATATTTTGGAGTTCAATCATGTTTAGCCTCTGATTTTTTAATTTGTTGGGTGTTAAACAATTTCCATTGGCGATCTCTGATTCATCACACACGCACATATAGTTTCTGTCTGAAGAAGAAAAATGGGNAGTTTTCATTTAGTTTCTGTCTTGGTTAATTGGGATTTTACCTATAAGATATTCTTTGTTGGTTAACTGTGACTCTCATTTTATCTTTATTTTGTTATTAGTTACTAGCCTATCTTGTTGGTTATATTGGCCTATGTTTTTATCTTCACTCTTGTGCTTTACTAAAACACTAGTTGTCCACCTCCTCTTCTTTGTTTCTATTATGTATTTTGTTTCCCCTTTTGAAGTTGCTGTGAAGTAACTTGGCCAAATTAAGTTAATTATCCGAACTGAAAGTTTGTCTTATAGGCAAAATATATTGGTAACAGCTACCGATTTTTATCTCAACTTTGTGTCTTGGAAAATATCTTGGTTTCTAATTTCCTTATGTTTGGGATAGAGAAATAGTCATTGGCAAGCTCAAAGATTTGCTGGTAACTCACAAGTCATGAAGAATGGTGCTGGTCCAGTTTCAGCATTTCCCGGCACGTTGGACAAGAATAATGTCGTAGTCTCATCAACAATGCAACAACTGTGTCAACAGAATCTTATGGTATCTGACTCTAACCAGGATGCCTCCTGTAGGGTAATGGAACTGCAATATGCACTAGCCAACAAGGCAACAGGCATAGCTTTACCTCTGCAAGTAAGCATGCCTATTTCTGTCCCAAATGAAGGTGCCTTCTCCAATACATTACCTAGGTGAGCTTCGGATGCACAGTCAACCAAATGTCCTACCAATAGTTGTCCATGTGAATTTAGAGGAAGATGCAAGTCCAAGTGAAAATTTTGCTCTGGAAGTCAGGTACTTTGGTTCTCATATTGTGCATGCTATTATTTAGTTCTGTCTAGCAACAATGAAAATAGGAATGGCATATTCATTTTGTTCCAAAGGGGCTACTCATTGTTTGCATTTGAGTCTTTTGTGATTTGTATGCTAAGGGTCAAATGACTATGCGAAGCCAACTGATTGATTTTTAGATATTGACAATATTTGTGATCTGCCTTTTTACTTGTAAGTAATTTATCTATAATCAAGGAGTAATGTTGTTTATTATCATTTATGATAGTTATCGTGTTTAGACGATCAAAATTGTATTTGGCAAGAATTGTGATCATTAACATGAACTCGATA